TCCTTTCTTCTTGAAAATCCTTCGTAAAGGCAAGTATGGAAAAAACTGAGCTTAGAGGTCTAAAAAAGGTGACGAAATCAAGCTAAAAAAATCGAAATTATGCAACAAGTGGAAAAAAGCAGAAATGCTAACGAAAAGTAAGTGAAAATAGGGAAAGTGGCCAAAGTGACGGTACGTCTGCTTCACCTTTCCCATGCTTGCTTGCGTAGCATGGAAAGGGGGTGAGAGTGTGGGAGAGGAGACGGGAAAAAGGGGGAAGAATGGGAAGAGGGAGCAGAGGGCAACTGTAGCAAAAAATATTCCTGTTCACATACCAAAGGTTTGTTCAATCGTTTCGATCGCAAATTTTAGAGAATCACAAACAGCATCAGCTTGTTCTTAAGTTTTTTCAGCAAGCTTAGGAAGACAGAAGTGCTGAAAGCTTTGCAAGCAAATCTTTGCTTTTCGCTGAAGCGAGCAACAGGGTTAATAATTTTCAGTCTCTCAGTATTACTATAAAAAATAATTTTGGACAAACTAACAGCAATGCATCCTAGCGAACGCAGGATTCCGGCATAAACTGTATCCACATACCAGTACGGCTTTAGTCCACTTGCCAGCAGTAGTTTCAAACGTCCCTTCATGGCATTTTTATCAATCTGTAAATACGCGCAGGTTAACGATGAACGTTGCGTGGTTCGCAGTGATAAGTGGTGTTAGATCCCTGTCTGGTCATTGACTGCAGCAGTGGAAGACAGTGAAGAGTATCAGTGCTTTATTTTACTAACAAAAGCTTTACTTCAATGAAACGAGCCGAGGCGTCGTACAAACTACCGAGCGGAGGGTGAACATTAGTCGTATCGAGGCGGCCAGTTGGTAGCGTTAGTTATATTAAGCTGTGGCGCGCGCTGGGTTCGAGACCTCGAACCTCAGGGTTTTCGGAAGGGTTTATAAAAGGTAAATTAATGGAGGGAAAGGAAGGACCAAGGGAGTTAGTGGTGTCGATGAGGCTAAAGCGTGTTTCGATGAAATGTAGCTGAACAACAGTAATTAAGAGTTAGTAAGTGGGGGCCGGTAGGTAAAGTGGAATTATTTAAAATATAGTAGAAGTGCTAAGAATTAGTGGGTGAAGGGAAGGAGATCGAGTACTTAGGATTACAATGGCACCTCTTAGTTACTGTTGTTCAGCTATATTTCATCGAAACACGCTTTAGCCTCATCGACACCACTAGCAAATTTTGCGTAATTTGTGCAGCACAAGCTACGGTCCTTAAAGTAGTTTCCAGGCTTTCCCTCTTCGATTTGCCGAAGAAGTATTAAAAAATGCACTTCCTCCCACTGCTTCCCAGGCCATTCAGCTCATCCTTTAGCAAATCTAACGTATTTCCTCAAAATGACCAGGATCCATAAGATTTAGACTGTTAGAGTTCATATAAGGGACGAAGAAACGTACTTTCTTTATTTCGACACCGTTTACTAGCTTCGACAGTGCTTCCATTTGCATGCAGGCTCGTTCCGCTCGACGCATCCGAGTCCACTCGAGCTCAGATCGCTGTAGCAGTGCACTTGCTTGCACAGCCCAATTCCTACGCTGGGCAATCACCTAAATTTTAAAGTTATTTCATCAGAGCAAAAGAGAACGAACTTAATAAATCTTGTAAATCAAAAAAGATGAAGGCTCCTTCTGCAGAAACGCGCTCCAAAAATCAGCAAACACCTGCACCACCGGCGATATCTATTGGGTCGGTGCATAAGTCCGTGTCGTTCTTTATTGAACTGGCGCCCCTACACCACGAAGCTTTTGTTTTTCGTTATTCAATTAGTTTTCTTCTGTTTGGAGTTTGATTATTCTGAATGGGAGCTTGTTTGTTGTTAACAGCTCGTTTTGGCCATTTTCAAGACTAATAATAATTTGCCCGTCAAAAATTTTCGCAGGGTCGTACATGTTACCCGCGGGCAGAGGAAAGCTGAATTTAAATTTTCCGGGTAGCACATGGGTGGGGGACATGCCACAAAATTTCAGCCTTCTAGCTTCCGTGGTTCCCGTGATAATGATTTTACCCGCCCAAACTTTTACGGGGCCGTACGTGTTAACCGTGGTTACGGGGAGGCTGAATTTAAATTTGCGGGGTCGCGCGTAGGTGGGGAACGGTCCCCTAAATTTTCAGCTTCCTAGCTTTTATGGTTC